CAAAACGGAATAGATTTGAGGACGGTGGAAAAAATACAAGTGAGTGGTGGGGGTGAGGACCGGCATCGGATTGAGTGGAACTGGTGATCTTATGCAGGTATACATGTTCACATTGCATCCACAGCTCGATGTTACCGAAAGTTGTAAGTATGCCACGTTGATCGTGTAACTGCATTGTCAAAGATCGATGTGCAGGACGCAGTAGAAGTCCACTGTAAAAAGTAACTGTGGATTTGTTGGCGATTTTCTTTTCCGTCTACGTCGCCGCAGAGTTAATTTCCTCTCTGACCTTTTACGCAATACGCATGAGAGTAACTATCGGTGAGTTATACAACTTTCAACCGGACACGTGACTTCTGTTCATTTCTGCTGTTGGGCATTGTTGCGCCACTGACCGATGGTGAGCTAAATTCTACCTGTTAAACGCATTAGGTAGAGGCATGACAGGAATACTGAAATAATGCGGATCAAATGTGAGACAAACTAAGGAAACGTCAATGGAGGTCTACTATACAATCCATCGACTAATCTTTTGATGGGTGACACCAGGTCTTGATATACAATTACCTTAAACTCCTACCGACCAAATGATGGCAGGTCTCGATTTTGGCGGAAGCCTCAGCTAGTTCACTGAATCGCGGTTTGTTCAAAATTAATTTTTACTTGACAGAATCAAAGTTTTTATTTTAAGCACTTCTCACTACTAGGGTTACCCCCCCCCCCGACGGGGATGGCCGGTTAAAACGACACCTGTAAGTTAGATCAGTCGAAAAAGGGATTATCGCCGGGTCGAATTTTCGTTCAGCATCTCACACTCATGACTACTCAATCAATCAACCGTTTTCCCACTCAATGTAGGCCAGCATATCATTTGCGGGAACGGTAACAAACCAAACAGCACAGAAACACATACGTCATCAATGGAGATTAAAAAGGTTGCATACCTTTAATGGACTCGTCCAAAAATGCTGCAATCTCATCGGTATCCGAAGAATCGAGCGAAATGGCGAACATAAATTCGCCGGGTATTTGAGTGAATGTATCACTGTGAGGCAAAAAAACAGACGGTATCAGGCTTGAATACAGTCTTGAAGCAATACATGTTGCATACAGTTATCTATTGTTTTTTCAAAATACAATCCAGCGGAACAATGTGACGGATAACTTACCGCAAAATCTGTCTTCGAACTCGTAGGGGTTTCTCAATCAGTGAGACGCCATTCAAATACAGCAGATCAAATGGGAATACACAGACCTGGACTTTGACAGCGGTCTCGTCCACATCCTGTCAAACGGGGATGATAAGAGACAAATAGGTGTGGATGGGGGATAGGTGGGCGAACAACGTGGCGAGACCATTCAGGCGGATGGAATGAGTGTACCACATAAACTGGATCAGAAAACAGTGCCTTGGTGTGTACTTCACACGGGTCAGATTTCAGAATGTTTGTCCAATAAACCGCGGTACCATAATCCTCATAACAAAGAAAATGTTCATGAGTTTCTAGTGAGTGGAATTCTGTCAGCTTGCCCAGACCGAATCAGTTTTAGACAACTTCCCTAGATAAACCGCTAGTGGATTACCGATACGGTTGTAGCCCCGATTATCCGTCCTCTCGTTTCGGTAGGGAAATACCTCTGCCACGGGAAGGCAGAGTATTGTTTCCTCATCAAAGACTGACGCGCTTAGTATG